CACAGTGTGACCCCTCACCCCAAGGGCACAGTGTGACCCCTCACCCCCAGGGCCCAGTGTGACCCCCTCACCCCCAGGGCACAATGTGACCCCTCACCCCCAGCGCCCAGTGTGACCCCTCACCCCAGGACACAGTGTGACCCCTCACCCCCAGGACACAGTGTGACCCCTCATCCCTAGGGCCCCCTCTTACCCAGGGCATCCTGGGCGCGAATGTCCGCTCCATGCTCAATGAGCAGACGCACTATCTCCTCACTGCCCACACAGGCAGCAAAGGACAGAGGGTGCTCCCCTGGGGACAGAGACCAGTGACCTCCAGCTTAGCTCAGGGGTCCTTGTGGGGCCCCCTGAATCCCCTGCCCCCATCCCTCCTCCACTGGCCACACCTTCCCTCCTCCCACTCTCTCCCCTCTAACATTCCCCATGCACCCCCTCCCCACCCCATCTTGCTTCTCTCTCCTTTCCCCTCCCCTACTTCACATTCTCTCCTGCTTCCTTTTCTCGCCCCTCCCTCCCTCCCTGCATGGCCCCTCACTGAAATAGATGAGCTAGTAGGGGCTTTGGTCACCCCTTCCCCTCCCTGCGCCCCTCCTCCCAGCCCCAGGCTCTCCCTGAAGTAGGTGAGGTTGTGGGGCTTTGGCCAGAAGGCCGGCCCTTCCCTCCTGCCCCACCTCAAGTTCTCACCAAAATAGATGAGGTTGTGGGGGCTGCGGCGGAAGGCCACCCCCGTGGCTCTGGCCGAGACGCTGGCCCCATGGGCGAGCAGGGCACGCACCAAGTTCACGTTCTGGTTCACCACAGCGATGTGCAGTGCGGTCTGGCCTGGTCAGAGAGAGAGAGAGAAGAGAGTCAGGGACACTGTCCTTCCATCCTGCGGGTCCTGGGGCTGTGAGGTCCTGTCCCAGGGAGAGCGGGGGGGCCCTGGGCTGGGTCCTCATCCCCCTCCCCTACATGGGGTCAGGTGCTCCTGACTGAGGGGAAGAGGCAGAGGTGGGGGTAGGAGGAACAGGGGCTTGTGTCCGGGGCCTCTGGAGGCCTGCAGGGCAGGTGTGGCAGGCAGCTCTAGCGGGCAGCACCTGCGTGTGGGGCGTCCCTCACCCTCGTACAGCTCGGACACCATGGGCTCCCGGACCAGCTCGGGGGAGGCCTCCATCAGCAGTAGGGCGGCCTCCAGGTTGTCGTAGAGCGCGGCCACGTGCAGGGCGGTCTCCCCCAGGGCTCCTGCGGGGACAGAGGGGTCAGATCCTCCAAGCCTCCCAGGGGAGGCCTCTTTATGAGACACTGAGGATATGGTGTACCTCTCTGGTGGTCGCAGGCCCCACCTAGCAGCAAGTCCTTGAGGGTACACAGATCGTTGGCCTTTGATGCCAGAAGCAGTGGACACTCCCGAATCCTGGGGACAAGGGACAGGGAATCAAGGCAGGGACAGGGATGGGCCAGGATCCGCTCCTTCATGTTTCCCTGGGGACTCAGTGTCTGAGGGGGGCTCTGGTCTCTCCTGATTGAGGGCTGGTGGTGTCGCACTGGGGCCTATCGGTGAGGGGTCACATCAGGTCTTGCACTGGCCCTGGAAAGTGAAGTCATCTGCCTTCCCCACAGGAATGCACCACCCTGGAGATGGAGGTGCCTCCACTGGTACACAGAGCAGGAAGGACAGAGAGGACATCCTAGAGGCGTGGCTTTCAGGCGGCCCCTCCCCTATTCTTATGGCCCCAGGCCACTGAGCCAAGAAGGGTGTTTAGGGGCGTGGTGCTCAGACCTACCCTTCTGGACACTGGTCTTATGTGGCCTCAGTGCCCCCTGTCTTTCCAGGGTAGGAATGGGCAACAAGACAGACAGACGCCTACCCAACCCCCCCCCCCCGAGGCCCCCAAACCCCCTCATTCAAAGGAGGTGTCAGAGGTCACAGGTCTAAGGTCCCCCTGGAAGCTGGGGAAGGGAGATAGTGCATGAAGCACATTACCTCACTGCTCTGCACACAGAGGCTGGGCTCAGAAAGATGCAAGGTCCATCCACAGATGATGGGGAGACTTGGGACCACACCAGGCCCTTAACCCGTGTTAGACCGAGCCTGATTAAGCCCCAGCCAGCAAAGCTTACTGTAAAGGGACATCAGGTCCCCCAAGTGCTCTGGGCAGAGGCCTGTCTATGTGATGGGCCCCTGACGGTTATCTTGAAATGTTCGTGGCAGGAGAACCCCCACACTGAGCTCCTGAAGAGCTGGTCCACTGGCCCCCAAGCCAGCTAGCTTCTCGCATCCCAGGGACTCTCACTTGCCCTCCGCTTCCTCATCTTCTCAGCTAAATGCATTTCAGTTCACAGGACCCCCTCTACTCTGCACCCTGTTCTCCCAATTACCCCCTCTGGGGGCTTGACCACTGTCCCCCACCCCACTCTGTGGTTGGACTGTGGGGAGTGGACTGCCCACCTTTGCTGCTGCCGCATGTGGGCCTCATCCTGAAGCTGTTCCCAGTCACCTTCTCTGATGATCCAGGGAGTCAGAAGTTTCTGGACCCAGGGTCTCTTAGTTTTGGGTGGGGATGTCCACCTGTCTCCTTCCATGCCCTGGCCGGACAAGGCTTCCAGTTGGGGCTGGCAGTGAAGGCGTCCCCCGTGAGCGCTGTGGCTGTGGGTGGTGTGAGCCTGTGTGGGCAGGGTGCAGCCAGGCAGGACACAGACAGCCCAACAAGGAGGAGTCTTTCCTGCAGGGGAGGAGTCAGCGTAGGGCCTGAGGGAAGGGACGGTCCAGGCAGACGATGGGGCTGAGGAAATTGGACAGGACAAGGATAGACCAGATGCCTGCTTTGAGTCCTGGTTCTGACTCCCTACAGCAGGCGCTTTCCCCACTGCGTCGTCCTCCTCTAGTCTGTAAAATCTGGGTAGGAATCACACCACCACTGAGTGCCTACTGATAATGGCCCTTTCACAGACTTGGGCTTGTCTGCCCCTCCTGTCCACCATCACCTCTGCCCCAACTCAGAGGCACGTCACTGGTGGCCTATTTCTGTGAGAACTCCAACAGCTCTTTCTCTTGCAACTTCCTAGAGCCCACACCTGGAGGGTTCACACCTAAAATCCCACACCTGGAGGGTTCACACCTGGAGAGATCACACCTGGAGCACCCACACCTGGAGAGCACACATCTGGAAAACCCACTTACAGAGTACACACCTGGAAGGCCCATCCATAGAGAGCCTACATCTGGAGAGTCTGAAAGGTCCAAACCAAGTCCAGAAGCAGCACTAGCCGAGTGCAGTGGACTGAGGCTCAGTTGGTGTCTGAGAAGACAAGGGTAATTGTCCATTCTGTCTGGCTGGCTGGAGGTAGTCACCGCAGTTTCAAGGGCCTGTGACCATTTTCCATTATTTTAGTATTCCCTGTCTAATCTCCTGGGGTGGGCCATAAAACCCTGTTTAGGGGTAAACATTAATCACACTGCTGTTTCCTGGAACACAAAGACATATTCCTGTAAGGTCAGCTCAGCAAAATGGAATCCCTTTGGTTTCAACCTTATAGGGTCCACACCTGGAGGCCCACACCTGGAGAGGCTGCCTCACTCCTGGAGAGTCCACACCTGAGGGTGCACACCTAGGAGGGACAGTCACTCAGAAAGGCAGGCACGTGGCAAGGCTTACACTTAAAGAGCATAGACTCCAGGAAAGGTGCACACCAGGAGGACAAACATCAGAGTGGAGACTCACAACTGGTGGGGGACACACACCTGGAGGGATCCATAACTAGGGAACACATAGAGACTCACACAGGGAGAGGCATGCACCTGGTGGGCCACATTCCTAAGGAACACACATGGGGTGCACACACCTGGGGGGCCACATACCTGAGGGACACACACCTGGGGGGTACACACCTGGGGGCCACATACCTGAGGGATACACACTTGGGGGCACACACCTGGGGGCCACATACCTGAGGAACACACACTTGGGGGGCACATACCTGGGGGACACATACCTGAGGGACACACACCTGGGGGGGCACACACCTGGGGGACACACACCTGAGGGACACGCACCTGGGAGGCACACACCTGGGGGCCACATACCTGAGGGACACACCTGGGGAACACATACCTGAGGGACACACACCTGGGGGGCACACACCTGGGGGCCACATACCTGAGGGACACACACCTGGGGGGTACACACCTGGGGGCCACATACCTGAGGGATACACACTTGGGGGCACACACCTGGGGGCCACATACCTGAGGAACACACACTTGGGGGGCACATACCTGGGGGACACATACCTGAGGGACACACACCTGGGGGGGCACACACCTGGGGGACACACACCTGAGGGACACGCACCTGGGAGGCACACACCTGGGGGCCACATACCTGAGGGACACACACCTGGGGGTCACACACCTGGGGGCCACATACCTGAGGGGGGTGTACATACCTTGAGGAACACACACACACCTAGAGAGCCAGGTCAGAAATCTGAGAGGGTCCAGATGTTGAATGGTAGCTGCACGGACAGATCAATTCCAAGTCCTTTGGATGAAGCACCATCACCTTGGGATTTTATTTGGGGGGGGTTTTATTAGTTTGCTTACAAAGTTCATATACATTGTGTTTCACACTATTCTTCATTCACATTGTGTTTCGTATAATCATTCTCATGCATTCGGTTCTATAATATTTACCATCATTGGGCCTGGCCCATCATGACCTGGTCTTTTCACCCAGATCCTTCCCCTTTCCTCCCTTCATTGCTAGGTGGTGCGGTGGGTCCAGGTGTATTCCCCTTCCCTGTCCTCCTTCTCAAAGAGGTGAAGTACTTGACTGTGGTCATCAGTGGATAGAGAAGAGGTATGTGGGGAAAGGGTCAGCGACCTATCCAAGAGGACAGGCTCAGAGGACATGCACTTGTCCAGTCCACACGGCTGAGGCCGTCAGAGCTGGTTTCCAGGGTCAGCTCCAGGCCAGAACCTTGTGTGGAAGGTGTGACACACTCCTCTTGGAGGGCCTGCCTTCAGGAGGACCATCACCCATTTGCTGGAAGACGTCTGCCCCCAGAATCTGTGAAGGGTAGATGGCTAACCCTAACCCGCAGAAAGGATCTGAAAGAAGGGAAGATAAGCGGGGGAGGGGGCCTCGCAGGCTGGGGTCAGGATGGAGAGGCCAAGGGTGGTGGGGAGGAGGGTCCCAGCATGGGGCAGTTTTCAGTCCAAGCTGGGGGTGGGTCAGCGGGTGGTAACTGCCTGAGTCTGAGACTTCACCTAAGGAGATGGAGGGAGCGATAGGGGCAGAGGCTGTAGATGCCCTGATAAGGTAAGCGGGAGAGGCCGCCGCCAAGGAAACACCTGCCCATAAAGTGGTGGTGCAGGGCCAGGCCAGGCTGCCAGTTACAGCCGCACGGGGCAGGAGGGAAGGAGCCCCGAGGGCACTGTCGTGGGGGAGGCCCTCCCCCGTCCTCCTCTCCTTCCTCCCTTCCTTGTT